AAAAAAAAAAAAAAAAAAAAAAAAAAAAAAAAAAAAAAAAAAAAAAAAACAACAACAAAAAAGACCAAGTGACAAAATATAGTGGTAATAATTTTGTATAAAAATATTAAGCATTCATAAACTCGAGGGAGAAGTGTGCAGTCAAAAAATTGAAAAAATAAAAAAGTAAAACAAACGCTTAGCGAGACAAATCGAACTTACCGATCTCCTTGCGATTGCTGAAGCAAACCAGGGACATGACAAAGGTCGCGGTGCCGCAGATAAAGACGATGAGCATGACAAGGACGTAGCCGTCCTGACCGGCGATCGTGAAAGGTTGAGGCGGTGGAGGCATCGGTGGGGGAGCTGGACAACTGTCCTCGCAATCGACGCAACTGCAGGCCGGTGATTTAGCCTACCAACCAGCCAAAATACAGATAAATATACCAATCACTCGCACGGAAATTCAACAAGTATAAAGAGACTAACGTTCAGAGACTCGTTGCAAGGCGTAACTTTGGGATCGAGTGGCTGGAATCGACCTATGGGCCCGTCGCTCGAGACGTAGTCGATCTGGAAGGGTACGTATGGGTTTTTGCTGTCACCCATGTTGAAGAACCACTTTTCCGGCGAACAGCGACTCGCTCCGTACTCCCCGCACATGAGGTCCATTGCCAATTGGCCGGTGTTTGGTACCGATACTCTGCTGCATGACTCGTAGGTGCCGTTGAGGTACTTTGTCGTGAAAAACACTGCCACACCGTCGATGTAGGCCTTACCTATAACATCAAGAACCAACGAAAGTTTGTATCAACAACTTTTTTTTTTTTTTTTTTATTTCTTTTTGTTTCAATGAGACGTACCGTTAGCTGTTTTGACGGATGTAACGTTGATGAAGTTCGATTGGTGGGGGCTGCAGGTGAACTCGCAAATGTGCTTCTCAAAGTTGCTCATGCAGCTCGGGCATCTCTGCAGAATACCCGAGGCCATGCCGATGTTGGCACTAAAGGTATTCAGCTGGTTGGTATCACAGCACGTGTTGGGAACATCCCCGTTGGGTAGGAGCATGTGCGGGCAGTGCTTCTTGAAAATCTCCTGTCCTTGGGCGTCCAGCGGTTGGGCCGGGCCATCGTACGGGCAGTTCTTCTTGTGCTTGGAGCTCGGATCCTCGTAGCACTCGCCGCGCCAAACGCAATGGCCCCCCGTCTGTCATTTTCAAAAACAAAAACGAGCGATTGAGAACATATACATTTGTCACTGTTATCTCGTATTCGTCTTTCGGGAAAAACAGTTTTGCCTTATCACGAGTCATACACAGGTGAACGTTTTTATTGCAATAAGCGCGTGAAGAGCGAAAAAGAAGACCTTTTCCTTTTGGACGGATAATCTTTTCTTCGAGCGAATAAAAAAACGACACACGATGTTTGATCATAAAATCCAAAGTCTGTACATATAGTGTGCGCTTCTTCGCTACACGCGATCTCGATTCGCGGAAGCCAACATTAGGAATCTAAACTCAAATCCAAAAAGCTGTGGATTATCAAATGATAGTGTAATTAGGGGAATGACGAGCCAGAATTGGAATCGGCACGCAACTCCTAATGAGATGACGCATGGGTACATCCAACGTATCTAATGATGATACAAACTGTCGCAACGAGCATCTCTTGTGTACCTTTGTGAATATAATATATGCTTTGATAATTTGTTACGTTTTTTTTTTTTTTTTTTTTTTTTTTTTTTTTTTTTTTTTTTTTTTTTTTTTTTTTTT